ATTTCTTTCTCCCTCCTATTTTTGTTTTTATTTGCTTGGATTTTTTTTTTCCCTAAACACTGTTTTAAGAAAGCCTATTTTGTCTTACCACTATGTGGGTTATCATTCTTCGGAGGTTACTACCTTGAGCTTGCACATAGTCACACTGAGATGATGTGCTTTCAGCAAAGCTTTCTTTGGCTGTCTTTTCCCTTAGTCTCTATATATTAATATGTTCATGATGGGGTTGTAATTCATATGTTTTGCTGCTGGAAGACTTTGATTTAAATTATATGCTTCACTGCCAGGTGGCTATGATTTGAACTTAATTGTTTGATGCTATATTGCTGAACTGTGTTAGCTTTTGTTAAAAATATAAGATGCTAAAACAGAAAGAATTGTTATTTCATGGCTAGATTATTTTTAAGCTCAGTGGTAAATCTTTTTTATCCCTTTGTTGTTCCATGATGGTTCTCATTTTCATTTGTAAGTAATATATAAATTTTTAATACATATGTAGTATATAATTTTTATACAACATACACGCACACTCATTTTTCATTTTAAGATTATTTCAATTTTGTAAAATTTTTCCTCTGTCAAATTCAGAAAGTGGGTGATTCACCAGATGGTAATTATATCCCAGAGGAAAAGTCACGACCTATCTATTACTCTTCAGATGAAGATGCATTAGTTAGATGAATGTAATCTTGTAGCCAATACATTCAATGAAAATAGTGCAGATCTGCATATGAATGTAGAAGACCAGGAGAAAGAATGGCAACCAGTAATAGAACTGTGAAATGTGGAACTTCTGATAAGAAATATTAATCACATTGATCATTTTACACTGTCTAAATTATCTGTATCTGATAATATACTCAAAATTATCATTCAGGGAACAAATAGACATGCCATACAATATAGCTTCAGTGCAAAAAAGAAGAAAGCATCAACAATACTGGGAATCTGTTAATTAACAAGACAAAAATTTTTTTGATTATTCCAACATTCTTTTATCTATTTAATTAAATTTTATTAGTACATGTTTGCAATACATAATGATCACTTTCATCATAGAGAATTTGTACACATACATAACACATTCTTTTTTTTCTCCATTCCCTTCCCTCCCTCCAACCCTTCTTTCCCTCTTCATTTACAAAAGTTCTATTTTCATTTTTGTTTTCTTTTTTCTATAAGTCCTTTTTCTCTTCTTTCCATCCCCCTCCTCATGTGAGATAAAAAAATTATAGATAAATTATTATTTATGGGGATAATAGCACTACCAGATACTAGATTGTATTTGTTTGAAAATAATGTGTGCCAGGGACATATAAAGAATGCCATGCAACATGATTTTTTTGGCTATTTTGAACTGCTTTTATTTCCCTAACAATATCACATGAAGAACCAAAGATATCTTGAATAAATTAAAATTCATGGATGAAATTTTTAGTACATTTAAGAATGCAGTAAAAGCTGGGAAAACGTAGTAACAGAAGAAAGTATGATTTTATGGCAATGACGTCTATGTTTTCCCCAGTGCATCAAAGGAAAACAGCATATGTATGGAATAAAATTATATCAATTATGTTTGTCTAATGGTTACACCTGTCTATGATGGAAAAAGTGACAATCTTTGATGCCTTTTATGCCATGGGTGAAAATTGCTCCCTAAAAGTTCACCTTATGGAAGCTTGTTTAGAATTGGCAAGAAACACATGCAAGCAATAAAATATTATCAAAAATTATCTGAAAAATGGGTGGTGTTTGGTTACAAAAAAACGCTGAGGATACTATGACATTTTGTGCGCTGTGTATAGATCAGCTAGCTGCTCTCTTAGATTGTATGTTTATTAGAGTTGTCAATTTTTAGTTTTGGCAGTTTGATGTCTTGTAAGACTTACATACATAGTTTGCTCAAATTGGCTATAAACCAAGCTGAGACATGTATTGACCTTGTATATTTGAAGTTCCTCTTTATCAATAGTTTATTACATATTTCTGTCCCTTTGGTTACTTTTAATATTTTATACTAATACAAAATTTTTATATTTTATGTGTATCTGAAAATTGCCTCCATTTTGTTCTGCAGAATTTTTCCCATAGCTGATATAAATATATACCAGTTCTTTTTTATAGCTTTTAATATTTAATGCTACCTATTTAGAATTACTTTCAGATTTCACCCATCAGATTTGATATATTAAAATATTTCCCATCCATCCTCTCGATTTACTCCTGCCTCACGGTACTTCTTTGTTTATATTGGTGTGTGAGTTTTCTGGAAATATTAATTGATGTGAGGCAGGAAGTATTAAGATGATTCTGCCAGTATTAAGATGATGATAACAACATGGTTAGTAGTACATTGCTCATCATCACTGTCCTTGTCATCATGATTATCATCATCAATAATGGTACTGTATACTAGTCTTGTTTATCAATATTTCCTGATAAATTGCACTATGAAGTTAAGACAGTGAACTGGAGAATGCAACTGGTATTTACTGTATTCTAACTTAGTAAATACATTGATATTCTAGTTATTTTTCTTACACAAGTACAAGGCGTATGTTTTCATAAGTTTATTTTCTCCATTAGAGTTTTGTATTTTCTTGTAAATAAATACCTTCTGTGAAATTATTAAAGAAATCCTCTATAACTAATACATTTTATTTTTATTAAACAATTTATGTAAACAAACATTTGATGTCCTGTGTGAAAAAACAGAATGCCCAATGCTATGTTAAGCGTATGTCTACATCTCAAGAAAGGTTGAAAAGATTTATACAAAAATATGCCAATATGTGGTAATGCATGCCTTTAATCCCAGTACTTGGAAGGCTGAGGCAGGAGAATTGCTATGAGTTTGAGGACATACTGGGCTACATAAGTGAATTCAAGACCAGCCTGCACTACATAGTGAGATCCTGTAAAAAAAAAGTTATACAAAAATAAAAACATATGGTGATAGCACTTTTTTCCTTTCTAGAAAATTTTAATTTTTACATTCTTAAAAGGATAATGACTTTCAGAAAATATTTTCTTGCAAGAGGTGACTTTTACCATTTCCTCCTAAAAGTATGCTAAATCATGCTCTCTACTTTGCTGTCCAGCAATAAGCTGTAAGGGGCTCCAAAGACAATTTTTTAAGGTTTTAATTACTATTTATATTATCTAACTTATTGGTCTTACCACGTTATCTATTTTCTTTCATTTTATCAGCTTTAGTATCGTATGTGTAGCATTTTTGTAGCTGCCCACTTCTAGGTAAAAATAAAATTTGTTAGACTATAAGAAAATTATAATTCTCTTACTTTTCCTTCAGAATTTTATAATAAAAAAATTTAAACATTACAGAAATGTTGGCTCCTAGTGCTTGTTACTTAATCTAGTGGTTGTTCCTTATCAAAGTAATGATATAAAAAAATGTCTCCATATTGCCAGATAGAATCCTTGAGAAGACAGAATCAGGAGCCACTGTTCATGGAGTATATTGATATATAAAGGTTTTTTTGGCTAATATTTTTGTAAATTTCATATTAAACTAATGGTGGTCTTATAACATGAATGGTTAGCATTTCCTCCTGCTTTTTTTCCTCTCTTTTCTTTCTTTCTTTTTAATTTCACATGAGATCAATATTATTTCTTCTATTTTTGTTTGACAAAATTCACCAGGTGGCCTGAACTTTATGGAAAGTTGTTGCTAACAAATTCAATTCCTTCAACAGATATACAACTACTCAGATTTCGTTTCTTCCTGAGTCATTTTTGGTAAGTTTTGCTTTCCTAGGAACTTGTTCCTTTTACCTAAGTTGGCAAATTTGTTGATATGAAGTATTTTACATTTTACTATCCTGTTAATTCCTGTTGTACGAGTAGCTATAATCCCTGTTTCTTTTTTAATCCTGCACGTAGATTATTTGGGTTCTCTCACTTTTTTCCCCATCATCCTACCAGAAGTTATCAGTTTTGGGTTTATCAAGTTTCTGTTTTGGTAATTAAAAATAAAGTGCTATGAACATGTTGTGTGGACGTTTTTATGTGGACACATGTTTTGTTTATTTTCCGCATAGGCCTAGGAGTGAATTGTTTAGTTATATGGTAACTGTGTTTCACCTTTTGAATCTTAACCTAAAAGAAGAATCACAGAGGTGTCTTCTACAGGGGCTGTATCATTTTATACTCCTCCTCCAGGAACACACAATTCTTGCACCCTCTTGCTAATACTCTTTCTAAAATTCCAGCTGTCCTAGTGTTTGAAGTAATATCTTGAGGTTTTGAATTGCAATGCCCTGATGACTAACACTAAATATCTTTTTACATGCTATATCAGCTGTTCATATATATTTTCTTTGACTATTAAAATCCAATTTATCTCTTTTTTTTACATATGGTGTATGTTTTAGTGTTCTTATCTAAGAAATTTTGCTTATGCTAAGGTAAAAAATTTTCTCCTATGTTTTGTTTAGGTTTTACAATGACCTGTTTTACAGTGTGACTTAATTTTTTTGCATGACTTAAAAGAAAAATCCATGTTCACTTTTCCTCCCTATAGATAATCAGCTGTTACAACACCATTTGTTGGAAAGATGTTCCCCCTCCTATGGAACTACCTTGTTACTTAAAAATACTAATTGAGTATATCAATTGTCAGTGACCTTTTCTTCAAATTATACACAAAAAATTTAAGTCTACTTTTGGACTATTCTGTTCTCTTGGTCTATCTATCTTTTGCCAATATCGGTTTGTTTTTATTTCTGAAGATTAGAGATTCCCAACCTCACCATTACTTAGATTTTGGCCTTAGTTACTGTTTGTTGCTATTATTTTCAAAGAACTAACTTTAACTAGGTTAATTTTCTCTATTGTCTCTTTTCTGTGTTACTGATTTTTGTTCTAATTAATTTTATTTTCTTCTGCTTACTTTGCATTTACTGTAATTTTATCTTAAAATATTAAATTATTGCTTTAAAACTTAAATGCTAATACAAGTATTAAATATGTGATATTTTTGCTTTTGTGATGATAGTAATTTCTAAATTCCTGCCCTGTTTCTTCTTTGACATTTTGCTTATGTAGAAACATGTTTCTAATGTCAAATGTTTAAAGTTTCCTGAACATCTTCTTTTTATTGGTTTCTAATTTAAATCTACTTTGGTCATATAATATTTTCTATATACTATCAATTCCTAAAGAATTATTGACACTTGGAGGCTGAGAAAAGAAGATTGCTATGAGTTAAAGACCAGTCTGGGCTACATAGTGAATTCAAGGCCAGGCTGGACTGTATGACAAGACCTTGTCTCAAAACAAACAACAAAAACTATTGAGATTTATTTTATGGCTTAGCTTATGATCTATCTCGGTAAGTGTGCACTTGAAGAGAATATTATATAGTTGATAAATGTAATATGTAAATGTTGATTATATGAAGATTGTTGATATTAATATTCAAACCTTCTATTTTTCCTTTCCTGATTATTTTGGCCTATGAATTGCTTAAAGAAGTGTATTAAAATTTCTTATTATAGCAGTGGAGTGACATCTTTTTCTCTGTAATTCTGTCCGCTTTTATTTCATGTATTTTAACATTCTGTTATTAGGCACATATATCTTTATAATTGTTACACCTTCAAGATGAATTGCTCCTTTTATCTTTACAACAAGTTCTTTTTTATCTTTGATAGTACTCTTTGTCTTGTATATTTAACCTGATATTAATATAACATCACCATCCTTTTTAGGGTTACTGGTTTTTTTCAAATATCATTTTGGGGCTTCAACCCATAGTAATGACCTTGTGATTCATAGTTGAATACCATCCTATAGACAACATATAGTTAGGTCATGTTCTTTCAAATACTCTGATGATGGCTGTCTTCTAATTAGAGTGTTTATGCTATTTACATCTAATGTAACTTCTGATAAGCTAAGGTATGTTTTATTTTATTTTTTGTTATATTAGTTCTCCTTTTTGTTTGTTCTGTTCCTCTGAGCTTCTGTTGTTTGCTAAAAGTATTTGGGAAAAGAACTCGTGGTATTTTGTTTCTTATTCCATATACTCTCAGACCTACTTATATCTTCTTTACTTGAAATAGATCTCTTATAAGAAGTATGTAGGGTATGCAAAATATACAGTTAATGTTTAAATTTTTAAAAATTGATGTAGTAAGAGAGACATTATGATACTATGAATCCCCTTCAATATCTTTCTCCTAAAATACATTGTTTGATCAGTCTTGCATGCTTGTATCTTGTAGCCTGAGCAATTACTTTGAGGATAACAATATGCACTATAACAACCATTGTTAAATTCCTATCATCTTCTTTTGAAATTCTATATTGGCATTGATTTTTGTTGTTGTCATTTTGCTTTTGTTCCTGGTTTTTTTTTTTTTTTTTTTTTTTTTGCTTCTTGATTTTTCTGTTTTTCTCTCTTTAAAATAAATCTTTCCCCTCATTTCAAACACACTTCTCACATTATTCATGCCATTTACTGAAGCAGTCTAGATGTCCTATTTCCTGTCTTTACACGGTGTGATAAAAAATGTGATGAATGCTACAGTTGAGTGCCATTTGATGGAAAGGCAGGCTCATAAAACCATTACAGTGTGCCCTCCGCCACCTTATTCACTGAATGTGGCACCATGCAACTTCTCGGCTCTTTTCCAAAGTCAGAATGACCATGAAAGGTAACCATTTTAAATCTGCTTAGGACACTGAGTCAACCATGATGGCACAACTAAGACACTCACGAAAGACGACTTTCGAAGTCCTTCAGAAAGTGGCAAGATTGGTGGGATCAGTGTGTTCAAATCAAGGAGGGATCATTTGGAGGAGGTTAATGGCAGTGTGACTTGTTGTAATAGGTTTTAAAATTTTTAAAACTCAATGTATTCCTTTTACCACACCATGTATGTAGTTAGGTTTTATTTTTTTACTCACTCTAATAATCTTTATCTTTTAAATGATATGTTTCAATCATAAATGTATATTGTGTGTGTGTGCACGTGGTGTGGCACAGTATAGAAGAGCTCTGAGCTGCATCTGCTGCCTTATTTATTTTTAAATTTTGAGACAGAATCTCACTAAATTGTTCAGTCTAGCCTTGAACTTGCAATCCTTCTGCCTGAGCCTCTTGAGTAGCTAGAATCACAGTGTACCCCATCATGCCTGGCTAGATCATTAACACTTCATGTAATTATTGAGATGGCTGGTTTTAGGCCATTCATTTCATTATCTGCATATTCTCCATTTTTGTTCTATTATCCCATTAGTTCTTAGTATACCATTCTGTCTTTGGACTTTTTAGTTATTAGTTTACCTCTTTGTATTATTATTTTAATGGTTGCTCTAGGAATTATATATACCTAACCAGAGCTTACTTTTTAATATAGTGCATCAAAAGCTGTATGGGAAGTCTATCCAGTAGATTTTTACTTATAACTCACTGGATAAATTGGGTCTCATCTCTCCCCGTGGACCAATCATTGTCCTTGGATAGTGATGCGGTTGGAAAAACGCTTATTCTGGAGCTGGTGGAGGAATCCATCTACACTGAAACAGAGGGCTCTTTCTACTTCCTAAACAAGCTGATGTTTGTTAGCAGGAAGAGGAACAGTGATGAGAGGTTAAATAACAGCCAACATCTGCACAGTAATCTTAACTAACATACTTAGTTTATCAAATTTTTAATCTTAGCATGTTTTAACATAATTCTTTGTTTTTGTTGGTACTTTGCTTCAATAATATATTTTAACTAAAGAACATTATCTCCTTCAAAGAATTGTACAAAATTTATCTTTCAGTATTTATTGCTTCCATACTTCCTGTTTCTACCTGGGTGTTTAGTTGGGCTAAAAGTGTCCTTTAGAATAAATTGTGAAAATTTGTGTAAAACTTGCCTATAGGAGATAACGTTATTATCTATTAGTGAGTGACATATAACAAATGAATGAATAGAAGTTAATTATTATCTAACTACAAAAATAAATTTTATGAAGAATTACTTCAGTTTTATTCTAACTGCTTAGAATTTCTCTTACTGAAATTGTTTTACAATAAGGAGACAATCATAATTTTAAAAAGCAAATCAGAAAAGATGTTGATTTGCATCATTTTTAAAAGAAACTGGGTGTCATAAACAATGTTACTTATAATCTTGTCTTTAAAAGCTGAAGTAGTATTTTGAGTATCTGTGCCTTAATGTATTTGAGTACAATATGAATGTGCTTGGGAAAAGATCCTTCACTGGGGGAGAAAGAATTGGCAGCTGCAATGTTTAATTAAATATAAGATGTTTGGTTTCTGAAAACCAGGCCTATAATCCTGAAAGCACATTTCCTATTTTCTTTTCTAATAGCAGCTTACAGCTCTTTTATTACTGATAATTGAATTATAAATTCTCTAGGGCAGAGACTGTATTTTCTATCTCATTAGCAATTTACATGTGCAAAGGGACAGGCTAGCTAGTCATACGATGATTTGCAATTTAATAAATGCATAGACACATTTTCTTACTGAATTTCCTTAACCTTCCAAGAAGAAATGCTCCCACTTTGTGAATAAAGAAGTTAAGACATAACAATAAACAAAGTGCTTCATTCCCAGGATTTGTACTTGTTAGTGATGCCACTGGGTGCTGATTTTCAGCTCAACACTATTTCCTCAGGTCTTTCGGGTTGCACAAGTTCCCTATAATTGGGCCATGCATAACCTGAACAGACAATTCCCTGCCACCTAATGTTTCCCAGAAGGCCAGCATGGGAAATTAAAGTGGGAAAATCATTTGTTGTGCAGAGCTGTCCTACTAAACATCCCCAGATCTCACTCATCAAGTACTGTCTCCCTGTGATTGTAACTTCCATAAACAGTCCTTATAGTACCAGATGCCTCCTGGAGGCAATACTGTGTCAGTACACCCCACATGCATTCTCTTTATGTCACGGATACAGACAGGATTTACAATCACCAGGAATAAAAACACGTTGACAAAGCATTTCAAACACGTTTAATTGCATGCATAAATCTTCCAATATGCAACATTGCTCTAGGGTGCTCAAGGGAATGTTTGGAAAAGGGTGAGGAATATTCAAAATTTTTTGAGAAACAGGAGCGCCAAAGCTTAGAAAAGGAGACACAGTTGGGGTAGAAGAATCCCCTTAAATAAAACTACAAGAGTAAAAATCAAAGGTTCACACAGTCTTGAGGAAGACTGAAGTAGGAGGATCTCAAATCTGAGTCCTGCCTGGGCAATTTAGTGAAATCCTGTCTCAAAATTTCAAAATAAATAAACAAACAAACAAATGGGCTGGGGGTGTAGCTCTGTGATAGAGTGCTCCTGGGTTCAATCTCTAGTGCCACAACAAACAAACAAACAAAGCTCATACTGATCCATTATTAGTCTGTACTGGATACTTTACTAAGCCACTAACCTGTTACTTATTTAACTCTCACAACAACACCTTGTATGTTTTGCTACCATTACTCGCATAGATTAGTAAACTGTCATCCTCCCTTGCCGCAGCCCTTAATATAACGTGGTCTTTCTGCTTCTGCATTTGCCCACATGTAGTCCATTTTCCACATAATCAGCCAGAGTTGTTTTTGCAAAAGGAAACCATGCCATATCACTCTTTCACTATAATTCCTGAATTGTATCCTATCACTGCATAAACTCTGAAATCCCACAGTACTTAAAAGGCACACATGCTCTGGCCCCACAGAGCTCCTTGGCCTCGTGTCCTTCTACCTGACCCACGTTGACCTCACTCCAGCTGGGCCAACTCCTCGCCATTCTCAAAACAGTCAAGCGGCTGGGGATACAGCTCAGTGGCACAGCGCCTGCACCATCACTCCTCCAGGATCTCCCCTACCTCACCTAGTCTCCAATCAGGCCCCACCACCTAGAGAGCCCTGCCATCCATGGTTTCTCACTTCATAACAAAGTGAGCATGTTACATGATGCTTGTCTTAGGTGTCCCTGAATCCTGTTCTCTTAGATAACTGTTTGGCATATTAGTAACTCAATAAGTATTTGTTGAATATATGTAATTTGGAGGTATGAAGTAATTTTCCCACTGTTCAAAAATAATAATGGGCGGGTCTATCTACTCTGAACTCTCAACCTGTCAGAGAAGACTCACTTTGGGGAGAGGAAAACAAACACGAATGGCAGGGAAGCTTAGGATAGGAGATGGGAGCAAAGGCTTTCTTCTCTCTGCCAGTAAATGCCCAGTAGAACCTCTGTGTCACTGTTATCCTTTTAAATCCATGTAATAATCAAGAATTTTATAAAAGGTGAAGCTAAGGTGCAGACACTTCAGCAAGTCAAATGGATCCAAAGTACACCTCTCTCCCTGGGCTTTGTAGTTGCTGGACAGCTCCAGAGGGCTTAGAACTACAGAGCTAGAATTGCAGTCCACCACTGAAATTTGTTTTAGGACCTTACTCAGGGTTTTTATATTACCTCTCCCACTTCTTGGCATTATGTCCTTTGTCCCTTTCTCTTTCTGTGCCATAACTCCCTGGGAGCCTTGCTAGCTGTATGTTGAGTACTTTATATTTTTTAAAAAAGCAATTTTACAATTTAAAAAAATGGCTTATCTCTTTGGCTAGGGGGAAGCAAGGGATGTCGGCAGAATAGATTCTCCAATGATGTGGACACAGTTTCTTGCTGCAATTTCCAAAGTCGGTTTAAATATGATCTGAATTTTCAGAAGATTGTTTTTAAAATATAGACATTCAAGAAGACAACCTTTGAGAATGCAAATTTTGAAGAACTTGGAATCTTTTCATTTTGAATATATTAACTGCAGAGCTTGTCTAGCTGGATATCACAGTGTGTACAACATAAGGAAATTATAATAAAAACAGCTTCCTGCCTAGCTGGTGTTTGGTGCTATCTTTGCCCTACACCAGTTTTTGTATGTCATTAGTTAGAAAAGTATCTGTGGATCAAGAGATCTAAAGGGCAGAAAATTATGACAACTAGCTAGGAAACAATCAATTTCAATCATGAAAGTATGATTTGCAATATGAAAATGATACTTCCAAAATTGTTTGCCTTGCTGTTGAGGACAAGACATGATTTAATTGGAGAAAAAAATTAAGAATGCTTTAAGATCACATAGCAATTAGAACAAAACAATGCAAAGCATCTCACGGGCAGAAATAAAGGTGGAAAGAGACTCTGTCTTAGTTACCTTTCTCTTGTAAAGACAAATACCCAACACCCAAAGTTAAAGGAGGAAAGGTTTATTTAGCTCACAGTTTGTAGAAGCTGCAGTCCATAATCATCTGGTTCCGAGGCAGGGTGGCACGTGGCAGAGGGGCAACCATTCATGGCGGCAGCAAAAGCAACAAGGGAGAGAGAGACCAGCCCCCGTCTGTCCCTCAGTTATATCCAATCAGTGGACTGACCCAGAAGTCACCTGCCCTTAATTACAGCACCCTTAATTCCCAGTACTGCATCACAAATGAGTCACACTCTCTAGATTCAACCACTCTGAAAAAGTCCCTCTGAAACTGCGTGAAGCGTTGGGGGACATCTAGACACAAACCACAGTTGTGCCTCACATGCCTTTGGATTTCAAGGCTCTAGTTCCCAAAGGGTTACCCAGCAATCTTCAGTTGGGCCTTTTCCCATGATCTTTGTGTAATTTTCATATTTCTGTAATATGTCTGGAAATGTTTTTGTAGGAGAGCATTTTGATGTAAGATAGAACTAATTGTGCTGTACCCGAAAGTGTGTGTGTGTGAGGGCAGGTTGTGCTCTTAAATCCCAGCCATTTACAGTCCAGTACAGCGTAGGGTAAGGGGAAGATGACAGGAGAAAGTTACTGGGTCCCCTTCCAACACTGCAGCCTTCACATGCCACTTCTTCATGTACCCCATTTTTAGTTACATCACTGTTCATCCCGCTATAGCATCATAGGTCCAAGTTTTCTGTTGATGAAAGATTGTTTCAGCTGAGGATATAGTTCAGCAGCATAAGTGCAAGTACAAGGTCTTGAGTTTGAATCCCTGTAGTCCCTCCAAAGTATCAGTCATGATAGTTGTTTTATTGTTCAAAAACAATGACAAAAGTAATAAAATGGTTATTGTCAGTGGTCACTGTTCCCTCCTCTACTGATTATCCATTAATATTAGGATTCAGTGAGGAACTTCGTCAGTAAGACACAGTGGCAAACAGACTTCACTGAAATTCTCCAATAGCAAATAAATTCCTTGGCAATGAATTGGGGAGCAAGAGACCTTACCGACCTCCTGTGCACGGAGGATAAACAATGGCTTACTGATCATTGTGCTGTTAATTTAAACTACAATTAAATTTAAAGTTCTAGGGGCTGGGGATTTAGCTCAATGGCATAAGCACCTGCCTTGCAAGCAGGCGGTCATGAGTCCGATCCCTGGTACCGATAAAAAAAAGAAACTTTAAAGCTCTATTTGAGGGTAATTGTGCTTGGGAAGCACAAACACTAAAGACCTTGATGTTTTACTAAATATTCCTATGGCTGTACATAGGAGCTCAATTAATGTTAAACAAATGACTGAACACAACTTTTTAGAGCACTCATATACCTTCCTTTCGCATTTATTACCCAAATCTATTTTCTAATATGCTAATTGCATCCCCAATAAACAACCTAACTGCAGTTACTTCTAACTATGTTCTATTAGAAGATTTTGTGAATCTGGAACTCCGCAAAAATAGCTTGACTCTCGTGACATCACATGCTATTGGCTGCTATGCATATATCAGAAGAATGAGGTAAGCCAAATCTTTCTCAGTGGCCCTAACTTTGTGGATATCATATTTCCACTAGTGTGATGAAACTCCTCAGAGACCATGTCACACAAATTTCTTGTCTCTGACATTTGGAAGAGATAGTTTTTCTCTGTCTCAAAACTGAAAACATTTATTGCCATAACTATATGATAATTTAAAATATATATATATATATAATCCAATTCTCTCATTTAATGAATAATAACCTTGAAAGTTGGAGTGTATTAATGATTAGTTGAGTTTAAAGGTCTCAATCTTAGTTAGAATTGAGCCAAAGAACATTGGTAAGTATTTCAGGCTAGTGACAACAACTACAAAACAATGACTTCTGAAATAGACCAAAAGAGGCAAAGAATGGATGTTGAAACAGTCCATCATGGTTATTAGGAACAGGCACAAATTGAATGAATGAGGTAGAACTGCTTACATGCCTTAACATGGAAATGTCTCCAGACACCATTGCATGAAAAGGTAATTGTGAAGTGATATGTAGCAGGAGTTCATTTGTGTATATCAAAATGAATAGGGTATGTTTTTCTCTTGACAAGCTATGGATAAATGACTATTTAAACATTCTACCCTAAAAACATTGCAGAGCTCTAGGATTGATCATGGGAGTTAAAGGAAAGTTTGTCCTTCTCTGCAGTATTTGAGTGTTTTAAGGAGAACTTATGCATTCGTTGCTTACAAATTAATTTCATCAGCTACTCAGAAGGCTGAAGTAAGAAGATATCTAGCTAGTCCAAAGTCAGCTTGGGTAACAGTGAGACACTGTTTCAGAGGGAAAAAAACAATTTTAAAGAGTAGTGCTGTATTTTGCTGTCTAATCTGCTTCCCTACTGCTTCCTCCTTGAGCTCCTTTGACTCTGTACTGAAGGCTGCGAATGCCCTTGGGTTACCAGGGTGAGTGCATATTTCTATCAAGCATTGTGCGGTGAGGGGGAAAATATTCTCCTTTGGAGAGTAAAAACCCATCTATTGGCATGCACGGGCCTAACAACTATATCTCAGTTACTAGTTTGTTTAAAACAGTAAATAAAAACAGCAAGAACAGTATTTTAAAAGGGATAGGATCTGGCTGGCCTAGGTCACTGAATCATCCGTTTCATTTTAATATTTACTTTGGATATCAGCTTTTTTCCTTAAATATATGGAAAAGCATGAAGTAGTAACTTTTTTGAAGTATTAATTTTTTAACTGCTGAAAATTATCAAAGAGGTAAATTTTAAAATTATTTTTATATTTTATAGGAGGACAGGTATTTTTCAGGAGGTTGGTCATCTTATTCTAAGTAATAATTTTTCCCCATCCACTGCCTCTGCCTAACTTTAGGAATTTATTTCTTTTTTCTCTGTTCACAATCAAAGCATTTCAGATTCAAATATATGTATATATCTATATAGAAAGAAATAGATTTATAATTTGAAGGAAGAAAAAGTTTGATATGTCCTAAATGTAACTACAATGGAGAGCAGATATAAGGGAGAATTACTTAGTTAACAGCTATGGGGCAAACCAGCAAAAGACTTCTGTATTTCTGAATGTATGTGAAACATTGACTTATAACTTCGGGCAGTCAAATGCCAGGTGCCACAATGTTGGATTAACCAGGGCTGGACTATTAATCTCAATCAATCTAGAAACAACAAAGATTCTGCTTGTGAACTGGCCTTGTTACGCACGGCCTTTGATTTTGTATTATCCTGCCTCTCTGACCTATAGCAAATATAGGCTCAATGTAAACAATTTGTGCTTTCTACTCACAAATTTTCCTTATGAAAATGCTCTTGGCTTTAGGTTCTATAGATCTATTCCAAACTGCTCCCTAACCCTGCTGCTGGTAGTTGGGGAATTTGTCTCAGGTCCTGGTCCTTTTCTGACTGGTATCTGTAGTGGTTCAGTAAACCTTTCTGTTTCAGAAAACTCCGAGTTTCACCATTTCATCTTAATGCTATTTAGAAATACAGCTTTAACTGGAAAATCTGTATAACTTGGGAGCCACTTATATATACACACATACATCAATTTATATACATGTATTGCTTAAAAGTGGGGACATGGTCTGAGGAAGTATCTTTAGGTGATTTTGTCATTAAGGAACATTATAGAGTATACTTGTACAAATTAAGATGAATATGGTATTACTAGGTAATAATTTTCAGCTCCAGTATAATCTTGTTGGACTACCACTGTATACATGTTCCAGCACTGGCTAAAATATTCTTATGCAGTGCATGGCCTGACTATACATACATACACACCTACCCATATGCACACAAAAGACACCTGCACATATGTAAGGTACATGTATACAAAAATGCATGTGTATTGTTCTTCAATTAGGAAAGCTTGCATTGCTTGGGAGCCACTTGATGAGGTACTCTGCAATTCTCCATTTGATCCATACAAACATTTTTGCCTAGAGTGGTAAACTGGCTTTTTTGATTCCCACTGAATAATGACTAGAGATGCCACCTATAGTTTCAAAGATGGAAACAAATGTTTCCATGTTCCCTGTGATATTTCCCTTTTGGAAAAAATAACTCCACTTCCTCCTTTTTTTCCTCCATGTGGCATAACATGTGTGCAATGAAGATGTGAAGCTAGGACCACATCCTTTCCTTTTGACACTTGTAAATACAGCAGATCCTTTCCCACATGCCTGTTCTGTACCTTACCCCATGGTAGGCTCCAAGATGGGAGAATAATTTAGCAGAAATGAGACTCAGCATCACCATCGTGGGGCTATGTTACCCCTGCCAGCTTTTAGGTCTCTCAGCTCTGCTGAGCTCCCCGGTTACCAGGACTACAAGCACTTTTAAATGGATGAGGAGTTTTGACAAATGTGTGGAACCCATTTCTGCAAACAAAGCCGTTTATTTTAGGCTGAAACATTTGCAGCAAAATTTAAATAATTTATCTAGAATGTGTCAAGTTGAATGCTTTCATTAAATCTTTTTGAAATTTCTTTGGTTGAACATTTATAAACTAAAAGCCTTGTTAACTTACATTTCTCAAGTAACTCTCTGCCATTACTACTAACAAGATGTATGGACTCAGTGTTCCAAAAGCAGTCTCAGGAATCAGAGCCTGTGCAGGAGAAATATCTTATTTAGGGCATTGAAGTCCTGAAGTGAGTCAGGACTTCAAGTGTTGTTTACTGAATATTGAATGTTTAGGGGAGAAAAGGGATTTTTGTTAGGTCCAGCTACCACTAAATGGTGTCCATTATATTACAAGCCAAAGGCCTGGAGACATCCACAATCCCACTCTCTAACGAAAAAAAAAAAAAAAGATAAATAAATAAACTATTTCACAGAAATATTGGCTGCTTAAAATCAAAAGTATAGTCCTAAACCAGTTATGGTAATACATGCCTGTAATCCCAGTTACTCAGGAGGCTTAAATATGGGGCTGGGGATTTAGCTCAGCGGCATAAGCGCCTGCCTTTGCAAGCAGGCAGTCGTGAGTTCGATCCCTGGTACCGATAAAAAGGAAAAAGACCAAAAAAAGGAGGCTTAAATAGGAGGATTGCAAGTTCAAAGCCAACCTGAGCACCTTAGCAATACTATGTCTCAAAATGAAATAAAAAGGGCTATTAATGTAGTGAGTGCAGTGATAGAGTACTTGGCTTAAATGTACAAGACTAAGGCCTTAATCCTCAATCTTGAAAAGAAGAAAAAGAAAAAATGAAAGAAAAGGAAAAAGTAATCTTTTTTAGTTAGAATAGCATTCCTCTTGGAAGGAAGGCTGATCACCCCACGAGAACCAGCCCAAGGCTTGTGCTTGATACTAGCCTTTAGTGGAATTTTCCCCTCACAGGTTGGCCAGCACCTAGGGATGAGCCTCTGTTCTTGAGAGTTGAAGCTTCAGAGGGTATAGGAAGAGGGTATAGGAAGAGGGTATAGGAAGAGGGCTTCAGAGGGTATAGGAAGCAGCCTTGCTAGGGGAACCCTGGTCCTATGGAGCAGTCTGTCAGTCTAGTGGAGGTCCTGGGACACACTGCCCCCTTAATTCTACAGATGATCCACTTTTATTTGCCTCAAAGTGATTTCTGACATATTTAGAAGTACAACAAGAACTTTTTCTTCAACAATCTTTCTTCCTGAACTTTTCTTCAGTAGTGTGTCTCGGTTATATAGATAAATGGGTTTCACCCAGGCAGCTTTGTGTGTGTGTGTGTAGCACTCTTTAGTCATTCCCTGCCCACATCACTTTTCTTGCCCTCCCCTCCCCCAGTTTCCCATTTGGAAGATTCTGATGTGTATAATGTATTTCGATCATATTTCTCTCCCTTTCTATAGGAATCTTAACAAATGTTCCTGCAGGGTCCAGGGTTTTATGTCAAGGATATTTTGAACACGTCTCAGCGCTGTCTGGCTGCATTCCATGTCCCCTTCTCCCAGTGTATGGACCTATCGACCAGAAAGGCCCCTGCCAGAGCATATTGTGCTGGGCTGTCACGGGTGGCAGAAACTGCTGGCCTCTCTTTCCACGACCCACAGGACACATTTGCACCTCCAGCATTTTCCGCACAAAGCGTGCATGATAGCAACACCCGAGTGTGGTTCCGAAACTGTTTGCTACGCTGCTTTAAAATTCATCTTTCTCTTTGGCCTCTGGAAGTCCAGTGAGAGATCTGAAACTTCCTCCTGTCTGCGTTTGGTAAGCAAACTGTTAAAATTTTGGAAATTCCTCATTTATTCTATTTTAGAAATTAAATATGAGCAAAAAAAAAGCACTTGTTCTCAAAGCTAAATATCAGGGGAAAGTCTTTTATTTATAACTTGTATAAGTTATAAGTTGCCAAACAGCAAATTTATCCAGTTAAGAAATTAATGCTGGAAAAATAACATATTAAAGAAGTACAAATTATTTCCACCACTGTTCCCAGGGTTGAATGACAACACAGATAATTTGGTCAAAACATATATCTAACCTTTTTTAGTACATGACTAATCTATTGAGTCTTTGATTATAGCTGGATGAATATTTCTCCCAAAATAATTGGTTTTGAGCATTAATAATAGGCCTCTGTTTGTCGATGACAATTGCTGTGACTTTATTCATGTGCAGTAAAGCCTTTACAGTGAATTACACAATTAGCTTTCTGCAGTTGGACTAAGTGCAGTATAAATGGATTTAGAGGAATCCAGTTGGAATTAAGTCAATTAAGCACGTTGACTTTTGCCAGTTTATGACCATATTTTTCATTATTTGAATTTTTTTTCTTTTTGCCTAGCATGTAGTAATGTTGGGGGAACTGAATGATATTGAAAATTCCAGAAATGAGGAGAAACAGACTAAAACCACTCAGTACTTGAAGAGGGAGTCAAGTGCTTTAGGTAAGTCTCTGGTTAGACAGAACTCTAGAAAGCTCCACCTGAGAAAGGGGACATATTTACCCTTGTAGGGGCTACACTGCTGCACTCATAGCCTCCAAATTGCACAGCTCCTCTGCACTCAGTGGCTTTAATTAAGCCAAAGGAAGGTTAAAAACCTAAGTAATCAAACATTTGTCCTTTTTATGTACCAATGTTCTAGAAAAATCTCACTTGATTTTACTAATTTAAATGCCACCAGACAATTAGCTGTGTTTTCCCATCCCTCTCTTTCAGACTCTAGGTGCCTCCTAATTTTTTAAATTATACTTACAAAATATGTTGACTATTTCACATATGCAATTAGTATTATAATTACTGCAGCAATGAGTGAAAATGTTGTCTCCTCTTCATATTCTTACACTGTCCTTGTAAATTATGGAGCTGGATATATAGGGTCACTTAGGGATGAAGATCAACTTACAACTTCAAGCCAAGAACTGCACTGCAGAAAGGGTACGTTACCCCACACTCAATATTCATGGTTTTGCCTTGCTGTCTAGTCGAGAAGAGCATTACTGCACCAGAAATTCATCCCAAGTAAGTTTCCAAATGGGAATATTTTTACAACACTTTTGAAAGCTAAGTGGATGTGGTTCTTCGGTGATTTGTCAGAGCCTTAGCTCCAAAGCTTCATTCAGAACTTCTGATGGGTTCTCCTGGTCTGAGAAGCCATTGTGAACCAGAAAGTGAAGCAGGAGGAGGGAGAGTGAATTTCCTTTTTTTATTATTAAGCATTTATTTAGTAGATTTCACACAAGCATACTTCCATTTAAAAGATACTAAATTATAAAGTACAAGACTTACTTATATTTAAAAACTGTAAGATATATTTATATGTATTTTAGATTCATCTGTCAAGTTAATTATCAAGTCCTTGTCCAGTTAATTGTCATAAACCTAGGTTAACAGCCACAAATAGGCTAGAAAACATAAAGCATTGAAGACAATTATACTAAATCACAGTACACTTACAGATATGCCTTCCATGCCAGATTATAGTAACATCTTTTCTGTCTTCTTATTGTTTGTCTTTGTTTTGCATTTGATATACTTTTGTTACAGTTGAGTGGGCCAAAGTAGTCCAGGTTCTTGTGTACAAGGAAAGAATTGCCAAGCGTCTACCTCATAGTGTGCAGTAAGTTTATCGAAACTCATAGGGCTCTGGCAAGCGAAAGGTCCTGTGTTCAATTCCCGTTACTGAAAAAAGAAAATCATGGGACTGCAGCAGGAATGGGTGGAAGGGTGAAACTGGGTAGCAAAAAAGGTCTTTGTAACTCAGCCTTCCATATTCCTAGGGTCAGACATCCTTTGGTCTTAAATGCCTTTCACTGTCTCTCTCTCCCAGTAATGTGAGCAATCTGCATGACCTCCTAAGTTTGAGTCTGAATAATTGTTAGGGTGGAGATGTGCTTTTGGCTGGATGAAGGGAAGGGAGTGACTCAACTCTTTTTTTTTAATATAGTAAAATCCAACAAAACAAAACAGAACAAAGCCAATCAAAACAAAGCAGCAAAATTGGTATAGAACTTCAGAGCAGGACACTAGGAAACAATAGCTATCATAGTAGCTTGTTGGTCTCTGTGTTATCTTCACAATAGTTGTCCATCCCATCAGCAAAATCAAACCAAAAACAAAACAGAACAAAACCAATGAAAACAGAATACTGAATAAAGCAAAACAATCAGGACAAAGCAAAACAGTGAGGACAATATTGGGTTTCAAAGAAAAGATAGAAGGAAATCCCCCATTTTTGCTGTGTTGCATACTGCCATCCTCCCAAGAGATGCTCAGATTGCTGGCTCCAGGCCTACAAAATCAACCCATCAATACAAGCATTTAGTTGCTTTATGCACTGTAGTTGCTATCAACTCAGCCTGTCATCCAAACCAGCAGGTTGCTTATGGGGGAAAGGGGTTAATTCTCACCCCACGTGCTGGTAGGCTCATGGGAGGCACTGACTTTTCTCTTTCTGGAATCCAGGTAGCTTGTACAACTTACCAGAAAGGCAGCAGTTTGGCTTCTTGTTGGATCCTCCCAGTCCCAGCATGGCAGATTCTCGAGAAGTGCTGACTTTCCTTTTCAACTCCTTTGTTTCTAACTGTACTATTCCCTCCTGAGAGCCCTGGTTCCCTAAAATCTTTGAGGAGAGAAGGAGGAGGAAGTTCTATCTTCTTTAGCTACTTCTGGCTGAATAGGGGCATTGGCCCTATCTACACAGAGACTAGTGAACTCTTGCTCTGATTGATTTAGGAATTCAAGGGAGCTGAGCCTTTCCTTCAAAGATTGCTTGATAATTCATGTATGTGGAATCAGGTTCTGATCTCAAATTATGGTCATCACCAGTAGTTTTGTCAGCCTTTGTTGTATAGCCATTGCTGCTCATGAGTCTATCTGGTCTTGGAGAAAGACAATACTCCCGGCAATTGTGTAGGCTGTCTGTCAAATTTTTAGGTAGTGTGTGTTTTACTTGCATAATCCCTTAAGGTTTGGCACAAGGCCACCCCGGGCTACATAGTGAATTCCAAGCCAGTCTAAACTACACAGTGAGACCCTATCTCAAAATAAATAAATAAATTAATTAATTAAAAGATAAAGAATATAAATAAACTTTCCAAACATGACCAAAGCATGAATACTAGACTGTAAAAGCAGATGGGAAAGAGACATGTCAAGTTCTGTTCTTAAGAAATTGCAATAGCAATTATAACCAGCTGGCTCCTACACTTGTCTATAGGTGTAGCTAGAAACTGTCTTCAGGAGGCAGTAATTGGAGCTCTGTTTTGTGTTTAGCCTATATTATTACTTTTATGTGTTTTTGGTTATATTCCCCTGATAGGTATACAGGACTAGGTTAAAGAGATCTGTTTACTCCTTGCTATCCATCAAAGTCAGTTAACTTTCATCAGGCATTTCTTTTAGAACCATATATATAGCCTCTCAGCTCCTCTGACAGTGTCAGCTGCCAGGATGGGTTATGGTCTTGCTTGATAATGTGGCTTTCTGTGACAGTGTGGAATACATTTCTTCCTTGGTGCTCCTCCTTTTTGGTATACTGTGTATTGGTTGGTTCATGTTCTCTGGAGTCCAGCAATACCCTTGTTTAGGGGGTTGACTAACTCACTAAAGTGGTAGGATCCTCCAGAGACATTGCCTTAGGACCTGGTCCTTGTTGACCTTGGCAGATCAGGACCAAAATATTGACTGCCTTTTAGGACCAGTTATCTTTTTATATTTGGTCTCTAAGCCTTAGTTGTTGAATACACAGAAGGTCAGTTGCACCAGTATTGAAGTGGGAGGAGCGAATTCAGCTATTATGTTCTCATCTAGATATCAAGTACTTAGAAATATAAAATATAGTATGAGATCTGTTATTTTCTTACTAATCATGTTTATCTTAGAAGTCAAATCCCTATAGAATGTTAATGTAGATAACTATAAAATTTGACAGAGAAAACGAGATCAAGAGCCACAATAGCATTTCAGCATGACAGTCATGATGATTTTATCTTTAAAACAGATTTAAATGTCTATCTTAGTATAGAATGGCCTTTATAATCAATTATCTCTATTTGATCACAAGACATTAAGTGATACAAAGAAATGCTCACCTAATTTTTTATCTTTTAATAGAATGCCATTGAAAAAGAATGTACTTGTCTATAAACATATCTTAGAAGTTTATAATGTCTATCCTTTAGTTTTTAGTGTGTGACATTGTCTGGACTTCTTGGTACCTTTGCATCTCAAAATGTAGTGACACATATATAACATATACATCACATGAGCTTTTAAAAATTATCGCTCGGCTGATGGTCTCATGCTGACACTTATGATCACAAGTGGCTGGAACACAAGTAAGGGACAGGCAGATGTCTGAATCTGAAAGAAAAGGTTATCACTATAAACAAACCTAGTTTTGCATCTTTGAAGATCTGCATACCTGGAAGGCATAAATATATTTAATACACTATAAAATCAGCAATAACGAGTGTCATACCTATATAGAAATCTTTGTCTTTTAATTTAGTTTGTACCAAGAGCAACTTTTAATAAGAAAACCTTATTGTTTTACTTATCAAAAACTTAACATTTTGATGCTAACCAATGTAAACATATTGCAATAATATGTTTACCAGTTTTTTGGGAGTGTGTCTCCTATTAGGCTATGGAAATTTATGGGGGTTCCACTACTCATGAAAAAAAGAGCAGAATAAATGTTTCCAGGCAGCCACACCTTTATTCACTAAACAGTTTTCTCAAGTCTCACAGGTACCTATTTAATTATCTTTTTTAAAAAATTTTATTTAAAAGGAAAAAGAGAAAAAACAAAACAAAACAAAGTGGTGTAAGGGTACAAGTAATACAGAACTACAAAAAAAAAAAAAAAAAAAAAAAAAAAAAAAAAAAAAAAAAACAGTAAGAAATCACCAGTTAATAGATTACACATTATCGTCTTAGAGATAGTTGCTCAAGTCACAGTATCAAAGCATACAAAGTGAACATTCAAACAGAGAGACTGCAAACAGTTGTGTTCAATGATCCAAACAAAAACATTAATATGGTCAGCTATTTAACACCCCTAAACACACTTGCAGTTGTATCCTTTAGAGCACTTTTTTTCCCTCTCTTTTTTACAACAAAATTTACACATTTTGGTTTTATTACTCCTTAGTTTTTATTACTTTTTTTTTTTGGAAGAGAATAAAGTCAAATATGGCAAAACAAAGCTGTCAGTCAAAACCAAGGATAGACATAGTACATGATGTAAGAACAGAGTACAAGGTTATCAACAATGGTTACCATAATGTCTCTTGTTTCCTTAAAAAGAATTGTCTAGGCGCCTGGCCACAGGTCTGCAGAGGAGGAGCTGGGCAGATCTGGGGTGCCCTCACTGGCCTCTCTGCGTGTCTGGAGGACTCTGGATTTCTGCGCCCAGACTGCTGGAGTTCCCTCAGGCTTCC